GCTTAGTGTTCTATACAGAAGAGCGTAGTCTGGCCTATTCGAATACGTTTTGGTTCGTCAGTCCTGCGTTCAAACCGAATATTAGTAGTTCGGTAGTTACATGATATATGAATGTAGACGGTTTTAGTTAGAATCTTATTGTCAGTATCATAGTTAACGCGCTTTAGGAAGGTTGCGTTGCGACGTGCAAATGATGGTTGACAATAAGTCCATGTGAAGTTGAAGGCTTCTAGAAACCGCAACCTTATGTCTCGCTGGAATATCTGAAGCTCTGAAGATCATGCAGGACGAAATCACCCGTTTCATATCTGTTTTAGGTGGAATATCTTAAGGGGGCTGATATTATATTAACTATTGGTTCCATGGAGAGGAACCAAAATCGTGGAAGGTTTCTCTGGCCTGTCTTATTAAGTCCCATTGACACGTCCCAACCTATTATCATTGCATAACCTCAGGTTACATGCTAATTTAATATCGGCCTACCGTGAGTGTTGTCAATAATGTCTCATATTTTTCTTCCATCTAGGACCAATTATCTGGGAGCAGATTTAAAGAAATTTCAAAAGCTGAGATCAAACCTTTTACGTCTGGAGTACCCTTTCTTGCACAGCTAGTGATCTATTAGAATTCTCTACACAGTAACACGTAATATCAACACCTGCAGGTGGTACATAAAGCAAAATTGAATTTCCGCTGCATAACAAATTGCAAAAACAAATATTGCTTAATTAGACTCATATCATTACTTCTGAGGACTACTGACTGATCATCTTATCAAACGTCTGCTAACACTGCTACCCTAGGAAGCAAGAACAATACTCAAATTCCGGAAACTTCATGAGTCATTCACGCACATGAAAAACATTCACAGTATTGGTATATATATAGACCAGTATGACCATCGCATTTGCTCAGTTTTCAACTCGACTTTCAGTACTCATGACTCTTTTACGTCCATAAGAATAGAAATTTAGCCTAAATCTACAAGTTCTGGTCTCAAAAGGACATAAAGTCCATTTGGCAGCATACTGTGACTAATAGCTGGACTAGAGGCTAACTAATAAATGACTGAGTGACAACAAGCAAGGAGGCGATCCAAAAAAGAACTGGATAGTAACAGAAACGTTCGTGCCTGTTCATATTCTCGAGTGAAGGAAAGAACGTCTGTGATAGTGGTGTCTGGATCGACTGACAATACTTTAAAATGGACGAACTTTACGAGAATACAAACTAGAGAACAACTTGTCGTGAGATAAGTCTCTTTTTGACCCAATTTAGTATATAAACCAACAACTTTGTTAGCATAAGCTGTTGTGCGATACTTTTGTGAAAAAATTTCAGGGTGAGACTACGACTAGCATATGAAATTTTTCCAAACGTGGGATTAGCGGTGTAGGGGCATAAGGAATTTAAGTGAATTAAGGATACCAAGAAATAATATAATACAGGCCTTGACAATACCATGTATTTAGATGTGTCACTTTACTGATTCATCTGTGCTGGTATGCTATGTCTTAGCGTGTAGTTGTCGTAAAGGCTTTTGTCAACGGTGAAAAATTAGAACTACTGGCTACTGTTTCATCATATCGAGCTACCTGCGGTCACACACACGCCGACTTTGGTTGGAACTCATAGGCTGGCACTTGATGTTCGTGACAGACAAAATGCAATGTGGGAGCTATAGAAAGTTGACTGAGATTTTCGGTGGCAACTTTGTTATTTTTTAAACTTTTTAGATCGCCTTTGGTGACCATTATTCTTATGAAAAATGAGGATAGGAAGTCAAGCATTATATTAAATTGTCCTTTCTCACTTATTAACGGAAGTGGACGTTAAAGACCTATCACAAATTGATCGTTTAGTTTGTGCTTATTGTACTCCAGTATATTAAAATTATTTGATTTGAATCGAAAATTCACTGACAATGTAATACATAAGTATAATAAAAGGCCACTTGACCTTCCAATTCTCTGTTCTTACACATACCGCATCAATTAATATTTTGGAATGATAAATTCTTGATAAACATTTCTACCTGCCGTGACCATAGCCATGCAGTTCGACAGTTTAGGGAACAGATTTGGAAAATGTATTCCTTTTTATATAAGAAGAGTCTTCAGCTTTTGATAAGAAACCGTAATAATCAGTGATTAAGGAGATCTATAATCTGATGTGTTACGCGTAATGGTTTTGGTCTGTTAATTGTTTATCATAATAGAAGTATGGTTGTAAGGATTTATATAGTGTTTCATTCCTGTGATAATTTGTTGGTTTGTTCCAGGCTTTATAATTGTAGTCGAGGCAACTACCCAATACTACTTAGGTGGTTTTTCTAATGTTGCTATTCTTAGACTTGTGTTTCTAATCTCACGTTAAGTTCAGTACTCTACAAAGACAACAGGCTAAATGCGAATTCAGACACTAACTCCATGACTAAATGGTTGGGACTTGATAAAGAAGAATGATGCACGATAAATATAATAGTGATAAGTTTACCTATGTATTTAGACACGTTGCGTTTTCTTGTCACACTTTCAAAATCAAAAATTGTTTATGCTGTTCTATACTCCAGCTTATATTTGATTGGTTTGGTTAATAAACAACGGCATTTAATGCCTTGCAAGCAAGGCGAACTATGCGCCTTAGGATCCTGATTCTAGGAGACTTCAATCCCCCTAGAGTCAACTTCGCGGAACATACGTATATTGGAGGTGAAAATTCAATTGAAGCTCGATTCTTCAACCTCATTGAGGATTTGGGATTATACGAAGATGTGAATTCGGCAACTTGTTGAAGAAACAGTCAGACACCGTCGCGCTTAGATTGTGTATTTAAAAACGAAGAATTTCTAGTCGACAACCTCTCAATTCTGGCTCCCCTGGGAATAAGCGATCACGCCGTTATAGCCTTCAGTTTTGTTAGCGAAAATGAGCGAAGATATCCCAACAACAACAGGCGCTGGAATTTTAAACGGTTGAATGTGTCTGCTCTACAGGATTATCTACAATAAATGGGTTCGGATGTTCACCTTCGACTTGATGTGGATGCTCATTGGGACTTCTTACTGCACACGCTCTTATGTGCTACAAAGCAGTCAGTCCCTCAATCGGTCCCTAAAAGCCACATCCAACCTACAATCATCAAGAACCGCACTCTTCGTTTGTTAAGCCGTAAAAGGCACTGTTGAGCATAATACAAACGAACTGACAACAACAGCGAGTACAGGCAATAGAAACATATAAGGAACATATGCACGAAGGCTATAAGAGAAGACAGGCTTCAGCACCAGATCAAGCTTATGGATAAATTTATTTCCAATCCGAAAAGCTTATTTCGTTACGCAGCCTTTCTTCGTCAAGCCGAAACTAGAGTTTCCTAATTGCTAGGTCGTAACGGTCCGACCGATAACGATGGCGACGTCGCCAACCTTCTGGCTGAGCAATACTCCCGAACATTTCAACCGACTCACATCAACTATACGGATGACAGCTTCACCTGCAACTCCACAGAACATTCTGTAGTGAACCTGAGCGCTGACTTGGCGTTCCGAAAACTGCAGAGCCTAAGAACAGACACTCCTCCTCCCCCAGATATGATCCATTCTGCTATACTCAGTAGAGCAGCTTCAATCCTGACAACACCGCTTAGCGCGATGTTCTGACACTCGTTAAGTCGATGAAAAGTACCGGATAATTGGAAGCTGGCTCATATCACACCAATTTTCAAAGGAGGTCGACGCAGCGAACCTTCAAGTTAACGACCGGTGGCTCTTCTCTATATACCTTCAAAAATCATGGAGTCCCTGATACGCGATGGTAAACATGACTATCTGCTGTCTTTGAATTTCTTCTCACCCCAGCAACATGGTTTCAGGAAGAGTTGCTCCTGTATGACGAAACCGCTGACTGCGGTGGACAGATGAACAAGCATCCTTGATCGCAAGGTGAAAGTGGATATCATTTACCTTGATTTCTCTAAAGCTTTTGATAGGGTTATTCACATATGTCTTATCAATAACCTCAGACAATTGGGTATCAAACCACCCTTAATTGACTCGCTCAGTTCATATCTGACGAACCGACATTTTAAGGTCAGGGTAAACTTCAATTTCTCACAGGCTATGGAATGTACTTTGCCGATGACGTGAAACTTTGGAGAGAGATATGCAACTGAGAGGATATACAGGCACTTCAGCAGGATCTGGCTTGACTTTAAATTTGGGCAGACGACAACGGACTCACCTTCAACACTTCAAAGTGTAAAGTAGTCCGCCTGCGACACGTCGCAGACTACAGTTAAAACGTAGGAAAAACCTCTCTAGTAGTATCACGGATCGAAAAAGATTTAGGAATTCTGGTGTCCTACGTTTTAAAGTCTTACGCCAACTGTGACAGAAATGCCTTTCGAGCAAACCTTGCACTGGTAACATTGAAACGCATTTCGGATCAGTTTGACGGAAGAACTTTCCACATCATCTTCAACAGTTTTATTCGTCCCCATTTAGAGTACGGAAACATAGTATTTCCTCCTACACTCCAAAAGGATAAGGACACTATGGAGCGTATCCAACGGCGAGCCACGAAATCAGTTCAGGGACCCAAATTCAAACCTTATGAAGAGCGCCTCCAATCGCTTGACCTTTACCCATCAGAGTACAGGCGTCTTAGAGGTGACCTTCTAATGGCTTACAGCATCCTTAACACTTCTGGACATCCTCTTAAACGCCTACTTAAACTTAGTCCCAACACTAACCTAAGGGGTAACACCCAGAAATTGGAGATACAACATAGCAGAACGGACTGCAGGCATGGCGTCTACTTCTTAAGAGTTGTCAAATGCTGGAATTCGCTGCCGCTGAGCTAATTCAAGCGACTTCCCTGGAGTCCTTTAAGAGACGACTTTATCTATTCTTAAGGACTAAGGATATTATCTTACTATGATCTGAAGCCTGTTAAGCGAAAGCTTCTTCTATTCCGTCTACAACCATTTGAACTATTTGCACTATGCGCAATGTTCGAAGTTAGCGCTACATCACTATTTGAAAAGGTCTATGGAGTTCATCGCTCATCTGGATTTTATATTTTATAAATTTCTGCTCACGCAGCAGAACAACATACTTTGGTTATGTTGCACCTGAGGACTGTGGCTATTTCAGTTTTTTTACTTGTGACTGCTACCAGACAAGATGATGACATTGGTAAGTCCATTTGATCTCGTATTTCACAACTTCCGAACAATACAATATTTCGCGACATTTATTCGTAAGAAGTGTCTTGAAATGTAGTACAGGAGCATCCCTAATCCTTGTAGCGGAAATCTCGTGTTTCTAACAATCTCGTCACTTGGTCTTCTATCTTTTAATCTAAAGTAGATGTTGCTTGTTCCTTAAAACGACGTAATCAGATTTAGACTAACAGATCGCAGTTTATTTGAATATTTAAAGAATCGTATGTATTTTCTATTATGATTACGGCAATACTTGAGTAGACTATTGTTATTTTGACAATTTAAAATAAAATTTACTTAATATCGTTTACTCGTTATTGGTTACTGTTGAGTACTGACACGTTTGTACAGGTTAATATTTTTTCTTCTACAAGTAAATTTTCGGAAACTTATCTTTAGTTTTCAAGTGGTAGAAGCTTAAACCGATCTAAGTAGCTTCGGTTATATTATTAAGCAAAATTTATTTAATACAAGGTTCCTTATTTCAAGGCGTAGTCGTATCTTATCAAATTTGTGGGAAAACGAAATAGATGCATACTCCGAAACGAGATGTATCGAAATTGTGTTGTTTTTTGCTATCACCAGCACTACACTTTTGGGACATCTATTCTTCTCAATCACGTTCAATTTTGATTTAAAGTTGGCTGCTGTCAGTAGTTGTCGCTAATACTTATTTTTGATACACTGACACTTAATATATCTCAACCACGCAATACTGAGGTGTCATTTCGTGTGAAAAACTGTAACCGTGATTCCTAACTACCAAATTGAAATCCTGATTCTTCACATTAATTTACAACCCTACTTCGGCCCTAAAGTGTGGATTAATTCTTATGTGCTGTTTTTTAGACATTGGCGAAATCTGGTTGGATGATTATTATCGAAGAGATGTCCTACTTTACCTGGCCTTGGTCTAACTTATCATACTTGTAAACTATTTAGCTAATGCAGTTTCGTGATCGCTTCATGCCTGACTAGTGTTCGACAACTGTAAATTCAGAACAGTTAAAGAGCCTCCTACTTGTCGGTAAAGATATTAATCAAATCTCAGCCTGTTGACGGGTCTCAAAATACAGAATTATTTATATGGGTTCAACTATAGTCGTGTTCCCTCACCTATTTCTACCTAACTATCCTAAATGTTCCTTTTAGATGTGGATCTTTTTATCAGGCTTTTCAAACACTGATCGCACATGTATTCCAGGTGAAATATCACCCAGTCTTTCAGAGCTATTATAATGCTCAACCGTTTGCTGTGTATTACTGCATGGCTTCGTAAACATGGTTTCTAAAGATTAATTCGATACGTCGGATGCTAGTATTTGACCATAAATGTTTCCAAAGCACTACTCGGATATAGTGTAACTGTTAAGTTAGTAACGTTAAGATACAGTTTGTGTTGCTCATTAATATTTATCTTCTATTTTCATCCAAATCTTGATTTATATTTTCTTCGGCTTCTTATCCGGTCTCATTTGCTCCCTCAAATACGGGATTTCTGATGTTTGGGTTTGATGTTAAGTAGCTAAGATTAATTTCCAGGAGGCTCTGAACCTAGATTTCATACAATCTGAAGGGAACTGGTGCTTCACATGGAGTTCGGACTTGCGTAACCAAGCTCCACAGACTGAGATATTACCACTGAATTGAGTCAAGAAGACCTTTAGGATTTAGATGCTTGTATCAACCGATTGTTGAGTAATAATAATTATTGTTTGTCTTGTTTTTTGTACTGAACAAATCTCGTTAATTAAGTTGCAGTATGGCGATTAATCTAAGTGACTGTTTTGATGTGATTCGGTTGCAGGTATTTGACTGGCGAATTCGAACCTAGGTTCTTTGAAAGTTGGCATCTGTTGGCTTTAGGCACCTGGGATCTTGAGGGATCTGATGCTCGTTGTGGAATTCGAACTCAAACTGAATTTGGTATTGTTTTCAATCATCTGTTATTTTTTCATCTTACTGATTTCTCTCACTATGCTAACATGTGTGGCAACTTGAAAATACTCAGTAGTGCCAGCTCCTATGTTGTTGTTGACTGATCAACGATTCAAGCTAGTAACTCACTATTAGTTAAAACATGAATGTTTTAGCTAACAGCGCGACATATTCACTTTCAGTCTTTTAACTATTGGATGATACGCCACAATGGATTAATGTTTAGTCGTCACTTTTCAGTATCTGTGTTGTTCTAATTGGGTACTGTTTTTTTTTTATAAAAATGATAGAGAAAAGCTTAAAATTGTATCTTTCTTACTGATTCTAGGTTACTTTTGGCATTTAAGTGATATTCACTGTGATTTAAAATATGTAAATAAATCATGTAATCTTCCATATGGTAATTATTCTTGTGATTCTCCACTCAAACTTGTTTTAAATGCAATCAATGCAACTAGAATGTTATTTTCTAAAACACCGGATTTTGTTATTTGGAGTGGGTAAGTTAATTTATATGTATACATTCATAGTAATTAACTTTTTTTCCATATTGGTTATGCAATTCTTATATTTTGATTATTTGTTCGTGATATCATATGTTTTTATGAGGATTATTATTTGTGTTGAATATCGCTGACTGATGTTCATGTAAGAAATTTCACTATCACTCTTTTGTATATAGCTCTTTAGGAGCTTCTTTTTCCAACTTCAATTTATCAGATACAGATCGCAATTAATTACAGGCATTGTACTGGTACGGCCGAGAGTGGGTGGAATCCGCTCTCCCTCTCCAAATGCTCTCACATGACCACGCGTATATAGCCTCTCCCACGGAAGTCCTACTCACTGCCTTCTCGTCACACCGGTGTTGTTTACGAAAATGACAGAACGAAAAGTGAATGTTCGGCGATTTAACCGGATTCCAAACCAATAGTGCACATGGGCTGGCTCCAGTATCCTGCTGGAACAAATGGCGTATGAACCAATCGTTGGTCAGCGGCTACCATGGGGTTGCATCTACTCACGATGCTCCACTGCCTTGTGTGTCAGACGTTCAGGTCGAAGGCTCGGGTTGTTGCACTCTAAGAAAACCACCTGCTTCGGTCTGGGCACCCGGGCAGTATCACAACCCTCACACATATCAAATGAGATTTGTGTGGCGCATATGTATTTGGTGCCTCCATGTACCAATATCTATGTGTTCAGTCAGTCAGTCATTGTATGATCAAAACATTATTATTATTATTAATGGCCTTATTCAATATATGTGTTTGGTAGAATATAGAGTTCTCAGCATAAACTATTTCAACAAGTTTCTTTAACAAAATAAAACAAAGCAAAAAACTACAATAACTGTATACATATATACATAAATTAAGTAAATTACCTGAAATGAAGTGGAATGTTTTTTTTTTCTTTCAATACAATTAGAATCTGTTTAACTTTATATAAGAAGCATGTTTAAGAATAGAAGTTATTAACTAGGTCAACTCTAACAACCTGTTCATCATACAGAATATTTGCTAAATAAGTTATTGTAGAGCTCTTATTATCTTTTCTAGAGTGTATAAATTCTAATCTATTAACGCATCGTTTTACCAGAAGATATACAATAAGAGGCATAAATAAAGTGGATAATTAATATCTAATAAGATAACGATTGTTAAGAGTTTGAAAGATTTTAAATATCTATCCATAACCATACTTGATAATGACCTCGACAGATTGACCACACACCTTGCTAACTGTTTTCAGCACACACTGCAATACAGCAAAGTTTTTTTTCTCAAAAGCCCAGAAAAGAATAATAGAGAAAAGTAACGTATATTAGGTAATATACAAGAATTAACCAATTGTAAAAGTAAATGTTGAGTAATACCATAATCATACAGCTTCTTCATGTAGTAAGTCAGACGAAAAACTTTCTTCGATAACAAGAAAACATTAGGAGACCGAGAGAGATTAGAAGAAAAAGTTACACCAAAATAAATAACCTTGAACGTTATTGTTATTAAAGAATCTCCGACAGTACAAGCTTTATGGGATTCCATAGTACGCAAACGATAATATATCGTTAGGTCATTGTAAACAGAATCTTGTAAATGAAACAAAATACTGTTGTTATAAATAATTTATGGCAAAATGATAGTTTGTTTATTGAGCGTAAAGATGTTCAGTTAGCACTATTTGGAAAATTTCTTAAATCATTAAGAGCTGATATTGGTTAAAACACTAGAATTCCGGTCACAGGATTAAACATCGCCTCATCTATTCCGAGTCAGGTCGTTACGTAGAGTAGCTCTTATATGAAAATTATAACTAATATTAATACATAAAGTTATAGTTTGTAAATGAGTATTTTGTAATAACAAAGTAGGATTTCGGTCTAAAAGTGTCAGTCAATTAACTGATATCTTTCTAAGAGCGAATTGATTCAGACAACTGATGCCGATAAATGCACTAAACGGAACCAACATTAAGTCAATTCACGATACTTTTTCTCTAATCAGCATACTAGATGAAACCCATGACTAGAAACAAACTGATTGAAATGCGATTCATAGATGCATAAAGTCAATGATAATAGCACTAAAACTTTATCTATCAAACTGAATCGTTCAGTAGGTAATATGTAAATAGTGGATATTTTCTTGCAAATATTTGTTAGTGATATTTGATGTAGTGCATGGCACAAATGTACATCATTCACAGTTACGACACCATTTTAATACATAAAGACAATATTAACAATGCAAGTAGTAAAATTCGCAATGATTGTAGTACTGTCAATGATTAGTGAAAAGGACTAAACCTAGAAAGTGTAATCTTTAAAAGCGGGATAACATTAAAGAATAATAGCTGTGAAACCGTGTCGAATTCGGAATCTACAAGGGAAAAGAAACATGTGCATAGACTACGTCAACTGAATGAACCACTTTTCACTAATACCGATCTACTTATTCTATTTTAACACATAGATATTGGTACATGGAGGCACCAAATACATATGCGCCACACATCTAATTTGATATGTGTGAGGGTTGTGATACTGCCCGGGTGCCCAGACCGAAGCAGGTGGTTTCCTTAGGGGGCAACAACCCGAGCCTTTGACCTAAAGGTCTGACCCACAAGGCAGTGGAGCATCGTGAGTAGATGCAACCCCATGGTAGCCGCTGACCAACGATTGGTTCATACGCCATTTGTTCCAGCAGGATACTGGAGCCAGCCCATGTGCACTATTGGTTTGGAATCCGGTTAAATCGCCGAACATTCACTTTTCGTTCTGTCATTTTCGTAAACAACACCGGTGTGACGAGAAGGCAGTGAGTAGGACTTCCGTGGGAGAGGCTGTAAACGCGTGGTCATGTGAGAGCATTTGGAGAGGGAGAGCGGATTCCACCCACTCTCGGCCGTACCAGGGCATTTGGGGCCGATCTACTGGTTGGACTTGTTTGCCGAACATCCCTTCTTCAACCATGTAATGTATCTTTACCAACGTGGGTTAGTCAAAATGCCAATAAACGTCGTTAATTGACGCCAAATACTAGTTTAACTGTCCTTAGGCTTCCTCCAACGTACTCCTACTCATCTGCTTCTGTCTGTGAAGATTCATTGAATCATCAACCAATTCTTTTCGTAAGAAACGTCACATTTGTCATTTTGTTGCTCCAAATTATTTATCCGTTGTTCTAGGAAATCGTCAGAAACTGGTCACCATGATGGGAATCAGGAGTGAAGCTATGTAATCAAACTAGATTATGGTTTGTGTGTATTTACGTATTCGATACTTAAAACTCCGTTCCTGTGCATTCGACTATTACTTATTAATATACAGCATTATGCAAATTTCATGTCTAGTGTGTGGATTATATTCTATCACTATCGGGTTTACTGTTTATATCATCAACTATAGATATTCACATGTTTCCAGAATATATTCACGCTTATTTCGATTAATATGTTAGTCTTATTAAACTCAACCTACAAATCTCGTCTTTTTGATGAGGTTAATGATTGTTCTCTTTTTTTATCTCTTAATTATGCATTCATTCAAACTTAACTGGTTATTTGATAGAAGGAAGTGGATTGATTAATGAAAATGATTCAAATTTTCGTTTTCAGTACAAATATGCCGCATAATAGCTCTGTAACTATGAGAATTGTGGCTTAATGTAGTGACCTTTTTGTAGATCGAAGATAAACGTAGGTTATCAATATTATAGAAAAGATGTTTCTAAAGCACTAATGATAACGGTGAGTTATGTTAGATGTAGGACATTAGTTAGAAAATAGTAAGCCGGCTGATATTAACTATTCCTGTAATGGAAAAAAATGCTCTGAAAATCTCTCCAGAGCATTTTATTGAACAGTACTGTCATTTATTTGATTCTTCTTCTTGTCGTGCATCTTCACTTTCATTCAGGTCGCTTGTTAACCACACTTTATGTTCTTCAGTCTTCCTTGTCCAGTCTTTTGTTATTTGATCCTGGTTAAAGATATATTTTTTATTATGTAATATACTGTTACGCGTTACCGGACTGTTAATAATAAGGTCGCGTTTGACTAAACTCAAGTTCAAGGTGTGCTTCAGTGTATCACTGTTATCCTCTGACTGTCTGCTTGGAAAGTTTGCTCGAATCTTTGCAGATAGATATATGATTTCATCTTGTTAGAAATATTTTTTTTTGATTCACAGGTGTCGAACCTTTGTTTACTAAATATTCCTTTTGTTTGCCATGTTAGTTTGTGTTAGAGAAACCCTTGACTGTATAACACAGGCTGTACTGTTTGAGATGTTTTTGTATATTTGATATAATTTATTGCCTTTATTAAATTGGAACAATTTAGATTGAACGTGGAGTTTGTGTTTTAGTATAACTTAATACAAGTCCCTCAAAACGCTTTGTATGTTATACAGAAGAACTTAGTTTGGTCTAATTAAATAAATTTTGTTTCCTAAGATCTGCGTTCAAACGGAATATTGGTATTTCGGTCGTTACAACCACTTTATACCTATTGATATATGTGTAGATCGGTATATAATGTTTAAGGTCAACTAAATAAACAGACAAATTCAGTTCATGGTATCACAAACTGAATAGTAATTAATAGCAGTCTTCAAGTATAGTGTAATGTACTGTTTCAATTAAGAAACAATGAACGTAATAGAGAATCTGACTTATGAAAGTTCGTGTTAACGGCGAGACTATGATTTATGAACGAGCCAATCAGAAGCGTTTGAGGGATTTCAAGGTCAAGGCACCAATTTCGGTACCTGATGCTCACGTACGATCGGTTTACAGCAGATTTTAGGGAAGACGTGATAATTGAGGGGCTACATCAGATAGGACTACCAAGAAGCGAAAATTTAACAGAAGACGTAGTATTAAGTAAGACTGGGTACGTAACACTTCCATAAATATACCTCACAGGTACCTGGAATTTACGACAGATCGACCCAAAAGGGCTACTTCCAAAAGGTCAGAAACCGAGAAGCAACGACAATAATACCAATTATACGGGAATACGTACAGCCAGGTTCCACAATATATACGGATGATTAGAGAACCTACGAATGCCTGCATAGACTTGTATATGTGTATCATGTCGTTGTCCACAAGCGCCATTTTGTGGACCTTACAACAGCAGTGCACACTAACAATATTGAAGTTATGTGATCCAGGCTCTATCATGCCCCGAGAGGTTGACTATTATAGAGCCATTTAGATGAATTCCTCTACCGTATGCACTACGATTTCAGAACCTCTGAACCTCTTTTAAATCTTTATAAGTTTTTGAACCTTGTAAAAGAAGTATATTCGCTTTAATTGTTAGGTTTTTTATGATATATTTTTACTTTATACTAACTGTCTTCTGATTGGCTAACATTTCTCAAGGTCACTTAAGGTTCATTCAAAGGTCATCCATAAATTATAGTCTTGCCAGAATATACGAAATCCATGTATCTTCTATATGATCTGTTACATTATCATGTGTCTCAAACAAAATGGTAGTTTATTTCTTAAATTGTCAATGTTGACCCTAATTTTTTTTGAACTATTGTATCTTTAACTATTCACTTATAATTGTTGTTGTGATTTCGGATGTGGCGGGGGTGTTCTTTACGAAAATAACAGGACGAAAAGCGAATGTCCGGCGATTTAACCGCATCCCAAACCAATGATGCACGTGGGTTGGCTCCAGTATTCTGAAGGAACAAATGGCGTATGAAATAATCGTTGGTCACCGGCTACCATGGGATTGCATCTTCTTACGATGCTCCACTGCCTTCTGGATCAGACCATTAGGTCGAAGGCTCGGGGTGTGGCCCCCTAAGAAAACCACCTGCTTAGGTTTGGGCACCCGGTCAGTATCACAACCCTCACACATATCCAATGAGATCTGTGTGGCGCATATGTATTTGGTGCCCTCTTGTACCAATATCTATGTGTTAAAATAAATAAATAATAAATAGATCTCATTTAATTTTGTTTTTCTATTATTCCTCATATTACTAATCTTGATTATATCACTTTTGCTTTTGTGAATTCTAACACTTTGGATTGTTATGTACATTTATGTCGAGTGTGGTTATTGTAAAGTCGTCGTAAAACAATCAAATCTGTCTGTGAAAACCCTACAGTACCTGATATATTTTCCACCATGTATTGTTAAATAAGGTTTATATGTCATCCATTACTTGTATTCTTTTGTTTCCAGGGTTTCCAAAATTGATTCTAGCTTAATTTTTAAAAAAAGGTTTTCTTGTAACACTTTGAATGTAACCAAAGTTTGTGGTTATTTTTATGTTTTCTTCATTTTATCATTTATTTCCTGACCACCCTCTAGTGATAATGGGCCACATGATGACAGTTTGACATCCGATCAACTTTTGGATGGTATCCGGTTAATAAGTAAAGCGTTGAAACAATCATTTCCAGTGGATGAAGTTTATATTCTACCTGTATTAGGTAATCATGATGTTGTGCCTGCAAATACTATGGAAATTACACCACAAAGTCGTTCACGTTTTGACTGGTGTCACAAACTTGGTAATGATGTAGATTTATGGGGTGAATGGATTAATCATCGACAAAAGAAATATTCATCATCATCATCACGTCCCTCTTCTTCTTCTTCTTCTTCCTTCTTATCAGAAAATTCATCAGACTTTCCAATGGCTAATTTCTCACAAAGTAAGCTTTAATTCATTAAATTATATCGTTGAATACTGTACATTTGAATGCATTTTTTATTCTTCGGTATCAATAAATTACCAGATAATTCTGTTTTCTGAGGATAGTATGGATGAAGAAATAAATAAATTAGATAATATCCTATGAAACAACGGTTATCTAACTTATTTTCTCAAAAGTATTTGTGTTACGTATGCCCAACCACCGACTATCCCGACGTGCAATGTTCAATGGTATAGGAGTAGGCTGGAAAAAAGCTAGGGGCGGTCGGCGGCAAATTCTAATCTTCTGAGTCGTGTGAATCCTTTGTCCCTTTCTTTTTTTTCTCTTTCCAAATTTATTTCACTGGATTATACTTCTTGAATAATATCTCCAACCAATGGTTGGAGACTTTGAGTGACATGGCTCAGCATTGATCATAATGGCGTAGGTGTATACACTTTTTGTCTTTCCTTAAACTGTAAGATTACAGTTGCTTTATATCTTTCTTTCTACCAAGTAATTCTTTCCACCTGTGCTATATTCTTATGTATAATCTTTCTTTTATACATTACTGCCATAGAATTGACTGTTTTTATGAATCCGGTGTTCAACTTGTTGTGCTAATGTGGTGTGGCAAATTGGATCGATGCATATACGTGCGTGGTCCTACGTTGTAGCTGATTAATTGATTTGAACTTCCACTCTGCATTTCACTATTCTTTATTTTGTTCGATGCTAAACACTAAAATATGCTCTTTATTCATTCGATAGTAAGTGTATAAATGGCAATCAAATATATGTAGACGTGTTTACTATTCATAGTATCAATTACTCATTAAATGACTGACTTACGGTGTTCAATTTAATAAAGGGTGATAGATATATTACATGCTTATATCTAGATTACTATTTCTCGTTTGATTCTGTTTCATTTTTATTTATTTATTTAAACACATAAACATAGGTACAAGAAGGCAACGCAAAAATAACTCGATTTGTGTAAGGGCTAGGATACTGATCGGGTGTCCAAACTGAAGCGTGTGGTTTTCTTAGGGGGGTCACACCCGGAGCCTTTGACCTAAAGGTCTAATCCACAAACAGTGGAGTAATGTGAAGAGATGAGGTTCCATGGTAACCGGTGACCAACAATAAAGCAAACGTATTTGATTTCTATCATTATTTAATTTGTGATGAAGCAATACGCCTAATAGTTGTTAGAACTGTTAGGTTTCAACTAATCGGTTAAAATTTCAAATCCTGTCCTTCATCTTCTTTTCTTTGAGTTTTCACAATTAGAGTGTATGGCCTACAGGAGAAACATTAGGAAATCATACTTGATAAATGGGCTATAACATAACTTCAGTTGGAATCTATAACTCCCTACGATTGCTGCTTCCGTAACGTGGTGGTTAGACTTTCATAATGTGATGACTTAATCGAGCTGTATTGATTAGAACATTCATTATTTTAAGTCCTACAGCCAGTTTGGTTGGACAGCAATAAGACTAAAGGTAATCACCTGAAACTATACTGTCGACTGTATGTGTGTGTGATGTCAGTAATATGCTTCCCTCATACAATCAGCATTTGCAGTGATACTCCGCCTGGAGTGCCTTCGGGAGATACTGCCGGTCCCAAGCCGGGATAAAGGAGGAGGGTTGGGCATGGAGTTAGCGACCCCATTCCGTATAAAACTAACTCGCTAAAAAACGCTAACCAGAAAAAATTATTCAAACCATTTAAACTTTACCCTGGGAGTCAGATCTTCGTTTAGAAGAATTATGACGTTTCATGATGAAAGTCGAGTTCCTTCGGAAATCACGAGGCCGATGACCCTTCTGACAACCAATGCAACCATTTATTTAGATACTCTCTCCACACGGTGGAAAAATGTGGGTATGGCAACTTGAACCGATGCCTATATATGTGCGTGGTTCTAGGTTGTAGCTGACTAACAATGTAAATGATATAAAAACCTCCCTTGACCTAATATAAATTGATTATAGATAAATAAAATAAATAACCATATGTTGTCAGGTATATACGTTTATATATTTGTATATAAAAATGTGATCATCTTGTGATAACCAATTTTTCTAACATAGAAAAAAACATATAATTCGAGTTCTATAATGAACTTTATCCAATTTTTCTTAATATATCTAACTATCTTTCATATGTCTCATAATGTGAATGAATCATATGACTAGTCACATTAAAAGTATTACTCTAGCACAAGTGGTAAGTTGGGGGGGGGGTAGATAGTAACGGAGGGTTGAAAAAAAATGTTTTCTATTTTCTTTTTTTTTTATAAAAAAAACTAATATATGTGGATAGTGACTAACAACAGAATCCAGAAAGTACATCGCATTCTATTTTATTTATTTATTTTAACACATAAGTATTGGTACACGGAGGCACCAAATACATATGCGCACACGAATCTCAATTGATTTGTATGAGGGCTGTGATACTGCCCGGATGCCCAAACCGAGGCAGGTGGTTTTCTCAGGGGGCCACACCCCGAGCCTTCGACCTAAAGGTCTGATCCACAAGGCAGTGGAGCATCATAACGAGATGCAATCCCATGGTAGCCGGTGACCAACGATTGGTTCATACGCCATTTGTTCCTTCATGATACTGGAGCCAACCAATGTGCATCATTGGTTTGGGATTCGGTTAGGGCGCCGGACATTTGCTTTTTGTCCTTTCATTTTCGTAAACAACGCGGGTGTGACGAGAAGGCAGTAAGTAGGACTTCCGTGGGAGAGGCTGTAAACGCGTGGTCATGTGAGAGCATTTGGAGAGGGAGAGCGGACTCTCCCCACTCTCGGCCATATCAGGGCATTTGGGGGTGCATTCTATTTTATGAGTTGTTAATTGGATTTATCCATATCCTATATGTATTAATGTTCACATGAGGACTTGACCTTAATACTTTTCGATCTAAACATCAACACATTATTCACTGTACTACTAATTTCAAATAGATAGGTATCTTTAGTTAACGAGCCCCAAGTGAGAGAAAAAAGTCCATATCCTGAATTTCACCGCTTACTGGTTATTGAGCTTGAACAAGAAGTTATATCTAGACTAGCTATATCAATAGAATACTTTCAAGATGTATATTCACCAATAGAGATGGGTCAGTTGGAACTCTTCACTGAATCAAACTTTCTAATTTTAAGCAAACACTTATAAAAAACAAAAGAGTAACCATTATACAAAGATCTCGTTCGAGAATGGAATTTGTCAGTAGTATATACCTATGATTTTAGTAGCAATTAAACCCAATATCTTTCTATTCATTGCTTGAATTAATTGTACTTATAAATCACATGGATCTTATAAGCTCATTAAAAAAATGGTTATGAATCATAAAATTAAGTAATAGGTCAACACATGTATTATTTATTGACATTCATGTTAATGATTATGTACAGTTAACTTGTCTGATGAGTTATCTATTGTATTTAAAGCAATGAAAGTTTTACGTATGTGAAACTCCGCTTACTTCAGTGTGCGGTATTTTAGTTAGTATAGAAATAGGTTGAAAGAATGATGGTAACAGCCAAACCAAAACATGACATCAGTCTACGATGTGGTTAACTGTTAGTCTAATCTACACAGGTAGATACAGACTACTTAGTTGTAGTCGGCTTGATAACAGAGATATCATTAGTTGAAGAATTTGAATGATACAATTCAGAATCATTCACAGAAACACAGATGTATTCAGTTAGTATCTTGTTCTATTCCTTGAATGCTAATAGTCTTTCATACATACTTTTACACTCTGTTTTTTTTTTAAAGCATATACTTAATGTTTAGTTGTTCCCATTATCATTGTTGATCTATTATTTGATTTACTTTGCTATGTATTTTCTTATGTTCTTATGTTATAGCATGGTTACTTAACTCAATTTAGATATGTTCTAAGCTTTATGTTTATCATAACTGATTAACTTAAGATCGATTCACTTTGCTAAGCTAATCAGGAAATTAATAAGTTGACTAATTATTTAATAGATTAGTAGACTAGATACAATTCAGCAGTAGAGATTTCATAACTTCACGCTTATAGAATGTTGCACTGAATTGAGTGAAACTATTAGAAATCAGAAAATATTAAATTATTACTTAGGAACATGTATACTGATCAGTCAGTCAGTCACTCAGCTACAACGTAGCACCAGGCACATATATGCACCTGTATAAGTTGCCATACCGCATTAGCACAACAAGATGAACACCGGATTCATAGGAGTAGTTAATTCAATGGTAGTAATATATAGAAGAAAGAGTGTGTATAAGGAGATAGTACAGGAAGAAAGATTTAGTACGTAGAAAGAAAAATATGAAGCGATTTTAATCTCATAGTTTAAAGGAAGACAGAGAGTGTACACACCTAAGCGATTGTAATCGATTCTGAACCATGTCAAAAAGAGTCTCTAACCATTGGTTACGATAGTCACGAGGACCGTAATCAAGTAGTTTGCATCTACTAACATGTTTAAGACTAGAAGTGAATGACTTCAATGACTGATGACACGTTTTGGTTTGTCCGCCCCTAACTTTTATGCGGATCAATTTAGATGGGATGTTGTATATTGTATATGTACCACCATTAGCATATACCAAACTTTAGGGTTATTCTACATTTGGTATATTACGAACTGGTTATTACATACAAGATAATATTTGTTTCACTCTTGTGTTATATTATTTTTAAATGGAGTAAATGTTTAAATCATTGTCAGTATTCGAGCTTATTGTGTTACTAATGAACTTTTATTATTTCCAAATCTCATTCTATTCTCATGATTGGTAATAGTATTGACCTTTAAATGTGATTGTCATCAATCTGAATTTCTCTATGGTTACTTTGAACTTTCTATTCTCAGTAGTTATTACTTATTTCAATACATTGTTAACTTACACTTGGTCATTCCTGTACATGTACATGTTTATAGGGTTGGATGTGATCGTATTGACCTCATTCTTGAAATTCCAATCTT